AAATACCCATGCCATGGATGCCCGTCATAATTTTGTGCTCACACATCCCAACCCCAAACTAGCATTCTGCTTAGCAAAGATTAGAAACATGTGCTGTGTACCCTCAGTGCAATTGCTGTGAACAGAAATTTGGTGATATGTGTGTAACGACTATGGCTGGAGATCAGATAGTGTCTCTGATCTGTTGGGGCTTGTCTGCTGTTTGTGGAAATATATCTTGAACTATGTTTGTGGTTTATCATAGGTTGAGTATCCTAGCATGTCTCAAATCAGCTGTAGGAGCAGCATTCTGGCACAAACAACATGTATGCATATGCCAGATCAGCATCTGTGTAGGATGCCTATGTCTAGAATACTTTAGCTGGTGCTATCGTGTTCAAAGGAGTATCGCCAGGAACAGGGTACGTACAAACTGTAACTCGGGGACGTTAATGTCTTCGTGAGAGACGGACAGCTGTAACATAGGCAATGTTTTCTGCACAATCATCTGACACATATAATGACACAAAGGCCTCGTACAAGTGGTAAATGTGTGAAGTTACCCAAAAGAAAGTTGAACCATGGTTCTATCACATAGGCAGTTGAGTCTCTAAGTTGTGCTTCAGGTATAAGTTGTCCACGCTTCACTCTCATGCACTGAGGTGAGATCTGCCATTTGAGCTTGAAAATCTCCCTTAAAGTCAAGGGAAGGGGAAGCCAGTCAGGTTATGCCGTGAAAGGGCTTGTGCCTTTTCTTCTGAAGAAACTCTTGCCCAGATGTCAGACTCTAGTCGCAAAAGTCACAGCCCACCACTTGTCTCTGAGTTCCAATGTGTCTTGATCAGTGCAACCATGAACAAGTATGCCTTGTACCATGATGCGCTATGGCTTTCTTGCTGTGACCTCGTGGCGCAACGGTAGCGCGTCTGAATGTATCATGCTGTGAACAGAAATTTGGTGATATGTGTGTAACAACCATGGCTGGAGATCAGATAGTGTCTCTGATCTGCTGGTTCTTGTCTGCTGTTTGTGGAAATATATCTTGACCTATGTTTGTGGTTTATAATAGGTTGAGAATTCTAGAATGTCTCAAATCAGTGGTAGGAGCAGCATTCTGGCACAAACAACATGTATGCATATGCCAGATCAGCATCTGTGTAGGATGCCTATGTCTAGAATACTTTAGCTGGTGCTATGGTCTTCAGAGGAGTATCTCCAGGAACAGTGTTGGTGACCAATGGTCTGGGTTATCTTTTTCTGAATCTGACACGACAGAATGTGCATTTCATGGCTGGTTGAGTAGATGCCTTAATATGTCATCTATGTCCGCAAGCCATTGGCGTAAACCATAGCTCGAGTAAAAGTCAACAATCATTTCAGAAAGATGGCATTTAAGACCAATGGTGCTTTGGCTTAGTTGGTTAAAGCACCTGCCTAATAAACAGGAGATCTTGGGTTCAAATCCTATGCATGCCTGATGCATGACACTTTATTTCTAGTGCAATGTATTCAATCCCTTTGTTCCAGAGAAGAGAAAACACCAACATGCCTGAATGTGGTCTGTGTCACATTGGGTGGTGGCTTGATTCAATTAAAACCTCGTGGGTTCAGATCCTGCTGTATTTGTTTGCTTTCAGACGTGTTTTGCATGTAAATTTCAACTGCTATCAACAAGAACTCCTTTGTAGTTGATTCAAAACGAATCCTGGCGAAAAGTGAGATACAATGCAGGACGCAAAATTGCCCATCAAGCATAGAAGAGATCCAGAGTGCGAATTTCTTCAATACCTGATAAAAAAGTCTTCTGTTTGTGCAACTGCTATGCCTTTCTTACAGCCTGAGATGACACACCACAGAAGCAAGCAAAGATTGGTTCTGCGGGCTCTGAATGGTAAAGTTAAGTGCTATTAAAAATTTTATGAAAACACCTGTTTAGTAAACAAGAAAAAGAAAGGGGTATGGCTTTAAAAAAAAAAAAAAGCCGAAAAAAAAAAAAAAATACATATGCTACTTATAACCTGGGCTCTGTGGTGCAATGGAGTTGGACTTCGAGGTTCCTCCCTGGAACTACTCAAAGTTTCTTGGTTTAAGTTCCTCCAGAGTCATTTGCTTGCACGTGGGTGTTGCTTGTTAGTTTTAGTAGAGGGTATCCTGTTGAATATGGAATTTCCCTACTCTCCATCTTAGATGGAACGCTTTGTTGGCCCCAGGTGAAAACAACGTCATCAAGTTCCCCATGTTTCTACTCATTGGTCTTCAAAGGAGTATCTCCAGGAATATGGTTGGTGACCAATGGTCTGGGTTATCTTTTTTTTAATCTGACACGACAGAATGTGCATTTCGTGGCTGGTTGAGCAGATGCCTTCATATGTCTTCTATGTCTGCTGTGCCGCGGCATACAGCTTAGCTTGATTAAGAGTCAACAATCAGTTTAACATTACTGAACTTGAACACTATGGTGCTGTGGCTTAGTTGGTTAAAGTGCCTGTCTAGTAAACTGGAGATCTTGGGTTCAAATCCCAGCGGTGCCTGATGTAGGAGCACACTTTTCTTTCAAGACCAATGCCTTCCATCTCTTTGTTACAGAAAGGAGTAAACACCAGCAGGCACAGATTGGGGTGTGCTTGCCCTCACTCAATTTGGAAGAATCTGAGATGAAACACGCATTAATCAGCGGGCTCTGTGGCCGGCAATGGATCGCGCTTTGGACTTCTATGTTCAACATTGGAGCTATTCAAAGGTTGTGGGTTCAAGTCCCTCCAGAGTCATTCGCAGAGAGGTTTGCTGTTTTTTTTTCTATACGAGATTGGGTATTTTGTTGAATGTGACAATTCCCTACTCTCCATCTTAGTTGGAATGCTTTGTTGGCCCCTGTTGAAACCAATGTCATCAGGGTCCCCATGTTTCTACTCATTTGGACAAATTGACACTGAAATTGTGCTAAAATTAAATACCTAGAAAATACCCATGACATGGGTTCATGCCATAATTTGTGCTCACACATCCAAACCCCAAACTAGCATTCTTCTTACTTAAGATTACCAACATGTGCTGAGTACCCTCAGAGCAATTATGTCAACAGAATGTTGCTGATATTTTTGTGAAGCTTGGATCAGATAATTTTCTTTGGTAAGTCGTTTGCTTAAAAGTGTCGCTTAATAATAAACGTAAATTAATTATCTGCTGTGGCTTGTGTGCTGTTTGTGGATAAATATCTTGACCTATGTTTGTTGTTTATCAGAGGTTGATGATCCTCGCATTCCTCAAACCTGCGGTAGGAGCAGCATTTTGTCACAAGCAACATATCTGCATATGCCAGATCAGCATCTGTGTAGGATGCCTATGTCCAGGCTACTTTAGATTGAGCTAAGGTCTTCAAAGCAGGATCTCCTAGAACAGAGTTGGTGAAAATACCCATGACATGGGTTCATGCCATAATTTCATGCCATAATTTGTGCTCACACATCCAAACCACAAACTAGCATTCTTCTTGCCCAAGATTACCAACATGTGCTGAGTACCCTCAGAGCAGTTATGTCAACAGAATGTTGCTGATATGTTTGTAAAGACTATGGCTGGAGATCAGATAGTACTTTGCTTGTATTTTCTCTTTGGTAAGTCGCTTTTGATAAAAGCGTCTGCTTAATGAATAAACATAAACGTAATATTTGATCTGCCATGGCTTGTGTGCTGTTTGTGGATAAATATCTTGACCTATGTTTGTAGTTTATCAGAGGTTGAGTATCATAGCATTCCTCAAACCCACGGTAGGAGCAGCATTTTGTCACAAGCAACATACCTGCATATGCCAGATCAGCATCTGTGTAGGATGCCTATGTCTAGACTACTTTAGACGGATCTAAGGTCTTCAAAAGAAGCTCTCCAGGAACAGGGTTGGTGACCACTGGTCTAGGCTATGTTTTTCACAATCTGCTACACCAGAATGTACATTGCATGGCTGGTGAAGTAGATGCCTTAACAGGCTATCTAAGCGTGCGTGGCATTTGAGTAACGCGTAGCTTGATTAAGAGCCAACATTCTATGCGGGTGGAAGGGGCCATAGCGCTGTGGCACTGTGGCTTAGTTGAATAAAGCACCTAGACTCAGCACCTCAACTATCTACACTACGGGAACTTTTCAGTAATTGCAACCTTTAGAATCTGGTTGGAAATGGAGATACCATGCCAGGATGCTAAATGGGCTGTCAAGCAAAGGAGAAATCCAGGGTTTGAATCTCTTCAGTGCCTGTTAGAAGACTCTTTTGTTTCTACATGAGCTATGCCTTTCTTATAGCCTGAGATGAAACATAGCACAAGCAAGCCAATATGGGTTCTGTGGCACACTTGATGGTGAATTCCAGGAGGGGCATTGGTGCCATTAAAAGATAGGACCTGCCAGAGTTAATTTCTTTCAGACATGTGTTGCATGTAGAATTCAAGTCCTATCAACAGAAAAAAAACCACTTGTTTTAACAAACAAGAAAAGGAAAGCACTATAACAAAGAGAAAGTTGAACTTTGGTCCTATCTATTATGTTGTCCAGTTTCAACTGAACCCTATTGTTTTCTGTTTAACTACCTTGTTCGAATTTTCCTTTACAACTAGTAGCCTTGTGACCATCATGTCACTTGCAATTTGTTACCAGCATAACTCTTATTCATGAGGCTCACTCTGAAGTGTTGTCTTGGTTAAAAGAATGCCTTGCTTGTCATGGTATGAGAATAATTTGAATAGCATCAGCATATTTAATTAAACTTGTCTTTTCTGCACAAGGAGACCAAATGACTATCAAACAAGTTAGTTCCACTCACAAACAGACGTGCAATCTTGGCTCTGTATGACTCGCAAGAAGCAGCATTATTTCACTGTTGCCACTGATTCTGACACATCATCTGACACATATAATGACACAAAGGCCTCGTACAAGTGGTAAATGTGTGAAGTTACCCAAAAGAAAGTTGAACCATGGTTCTATCACATAGGCAGTTGAGTCTCTAAGTTGAGCTATGGCTTACTTGCTGTGACCTCGTGGCGCAACGGTGGGCGCGCGCTGACTCCAGATCGTGGTGGTGCGTGTTCAAATCACGTCGTCGATTGAGGATGCTCTTTTGCGCACGGACTACTGATATTCTGCACAGTCTAATACGGATACTATCATATGGACTCGAATCTCTGTGATGACCATCCACGTCTTTGTCAACCTCATGCTAAAAGGTGACAAAGCTCAGCTAGCAACTCTTTCACCTAAGAATCATCAGTAACTTAGTCTTCTGACACATATAATGACACAAAGGCCTCGTACAAGTGGTAAATGTGTGAAGTTACGCAAAAGAAAGTTGAACCATGGTTCTGTCACATAGGCAGTTGAGTCTCTAAGTTGCGCTTCAGGTATAAGTTGTCCACGCTTCACTCTCATGCACTGAGGTGAGATCTGCCATTTGAGCTTGAAAATCTCCCTTAAAGTCAAGGGAAGGGGAAGCCAGTCAGGTTATGCCGTGAAAGGGCTTGTGCCTTGTCTTCTGAAGAAACTCTTGCCCAGATGTCAGACTCTAGTCACAAAAGTCACAGCCCACCACTTGTCTCTGAGTTCCAATGTGTCTTGATCAGTGCAACCATGAACAAATATGCCTTGCACCATGATGCGCTGTGGCTTATTTGCTGTGACCTCGTGGCGCAACGGTAGCACGTCTGACTCCAGATCAGAAGGTTGCGTGTTCAAATCACGTCGTAGTCATTGAGGATGCTCTTTTGCACACTGATATTCTGCACAGTCTAATACGGATACTATCATATGGACTCGAATCTCTGTGATGACCATCCACGTCCTTGTCAACCTCATGCTAAAAGGTGACAAAGTTCAGCTAGCAACTCTTTCACCTAAGAATCATCAGTAACTTAGCAACCTGCTGTATATTTTCCTTTACAACTAGTAGACTTTTGACCATCATGTCACTTGCAAATTGTTACCAGCATAACTCTTATTCATGAGGCTAACTCTGAGGTCTTGTTTGGTTCAAAAAATGCCTTGCTTGTCATGGTATGAGGATAATTTGAATAGCATCAGCATATTTAATTAAACTTGTCTTTTTTGCACAAGGAGACCAAATGACTATCAAACAAGGTAGTTCCACTCACAAACAGACGTGCAATCTTGGCTCTGTATGACTCGCAAGAAGCAGCTTTATTCCACCGTTGACACTGATTCTGACACATCATCTGACACATCATCTGACACAGATAATGACACAAAGGCCTCGTACAAGTGGTAAATGTGTGAAGTTACCCAAAAGAAAGTTGAACCATGGTTCTATCACATAGGCAGTTGAGTCTCTAAGTTGAGCTATGGCTTACTTGCTGTGACCTCGTGGCGCAACGGTAGCGCGTCTGACTCCAGATCAGAAGGTTGCGTGTTCAAATCACGTCGTGGTCATTGAGGATGCTCACAAACAGACATGCAATCTTGGCTCTGTATTACTCGCAAGAAGCAGCTTTATTCCACCGTTGCCATATAATGACACAAAGGCCTCGTACAAGTGGTAAATGTGTGAAGTTACCCAAAAGAAAGTTAAACCATGGTTCTATCACATAGGCAGTTGAGTCTCTAAGTTGTGCTTCAGGTATAAGTTGTCCACGCTTCACTCTCATGCACTGAGGTGAGATCTGCCATTTGAGCTTGAAAATTTCTCTTAAGGGAAGGGGAAGCCAGTCAGGTTATGCCGTGAAAGGGCTTGTGCCTTTTCTTCTGAAGAAACTCTTGCCCAGATGTCAGACTCTAGTCACAAAAGTCACAGCCCACCACTTGTCTCTGAGTTCCAATGTGTCTTGATCAGTGCAACCATGAACAAGTATGCCTTGCACCATGATGCGCTATGGATTTCCTGCTGGTAGCGCGTCTGACTCCAGATCAGAAGGTTGTGTGTTCAAATCACATCTGGGTCATTGAGTGTGCTCTTGTTCACACAGACTGTTGATTTTCTGCACAGTCTAATACGGATAATATCATATGGACTCGAATCTCTGTGATGACCATCCACGTCTTTGTCAAGCTCATGCTTAAAGGTGACAAAGTTCAGCTAGCAACTCTTTCAACTAAGAATCATCAGTAACTTAGCAACCTGCTGTATGTTTCCTTAGTTTACAGATTGTGCTTGCTGAACAAAATATACCTGAGGATTGCACTTTTGTTGTTTTCACTGGCCCTCTCAGACAACTTGGAGGGTTAAACAAGCAGGTACTACAGCACCCAAACAGGGACTTGAACCCTGGACCCTCAGATTAAAAGTCTGATGCTCTACCGACTCTGTGAAAAACAGGGCAAAAGGGACTGCTCGGCATGGGGGAAAAGGGGGGGAAAGGGGGGAAGGAGGGAAAGAGGGGAGGAGTGAAAGTGTTATCTATCCATCCATCCATCTTCTACCGCTTATCTTTTTGAGGGTCACGTGGAACCTGGAGCCTATCCCAAGGAGCGGGGTACAGCCTGGACAGGGTGCCAATTGAAAGTGCCCGATGTCTCCTGGGATAAGCCAGGTTCCCCGTGACCCTGAAAAGGAGTAAGCGGTTGAGGATGGATGGATTGATGGATGGATGTTAATTTCTATTCAGTTATTTGCTAGTGTTCTCAAAAATGACAGTTAATAACAGTTAAAAATTATCTTAACTTGTTTTTACGTCATTTTTTTCCAGGATGTCACAGTTAAATTCCCCACAAGCTCATCCCTAACAGATATACCAATAATACTTGATCAACATGAAAGACACACTTGTTTTCCCAAATCCTCTTTATTACATAAGCTCAGATTTAACATACAAACATCAGTAACGTATAAACATCAGTAACGTATAAACATCAGTAACGTATAAACATTAGTAACATATAAACATCAGTAACGTATAAACATTAGTAACATATAAACATCAGTAACGTATAAACATTAGTAACATATAAAAAATTTGTTATTGAACAAAGTGGCACACAAAGTCAGTTTTAAAGGGTGGCTTTCCACTCTGTGATGGTTTGCCCAGATTCCGGACAGTACCATTTCCCTCTCAACTGGGTATGGCCAGAAAGTTTGTTTTTTGCTTGACCACAGTCTTTACACTGATAGTGGTAGCCTTCGGGTTGTTTAGGCCGCTTTTGTCCCTTTACTACGCCTCCTGATCCTCAAGTACTGTCTTTCGCAGTCTCCACTCACGGTGACGATTCGAGAGGGTGCTGCCAAGATAGGAGCTGACGGTTGTCCGCGGATAGGTCGACCATCCCTGAGGGACTGGCTCTGGAGCTGATTGTTGTAACTGTGGATAGGTCAACCATGCCTGAGAGAGTGGCGCTGGATTTGGTGGTTGTCCCAGTGGATATGGCGGCCATGCCTGAGAGAGTGGCGCTGGATTTGGTGGTTGTCCCAGTGGATAGGGGGGGCCATGCCTGAGAGAGTGGCGCTGGATTTGGTGGTTGTCCCTGTGTATAGGGCGGCCATGCCTGAGAGTGGCGCTGGATTTGGTGGTTGTCCTTGTGGATAGGGTGACCAGCCAGAAGAACTGAGCCTGCCGGAATCCCACTCAGGACAATTCTGTGTCCCAGGCCAGTAAAGATGTCCTACCCCAGTGTGTGTGTGCATGGTGGAAGACACTGCAGTCCCAGTTCTGCCACAGTGACGTCGTTAATCGTTGTCTCACCCTCATGGTTTTCAGGCTCTTTGAACTCCATGACTGCATGTCCATGCTCCACAGGTGAAGATGGGAGACACCTAGCATTTGGCAGGGAATCCTTTGCCGAATTTACCTGCTGAGAAAGCTGCACTCCTTGCAGCAAGGAGTCCCGGTCAGTTCTCTTTTTTCGGTCAAGCAGCCTGTGGGTGGGGGGACGGATTAGACAGTTTTAGTAATTGAACTGAATTGCATAAGATGTTCTCAATAGAATGAACTTGCAGTTAATTTTTATTTCTGTATATTGTTCATACAAATATATCACAAATGTTTTACAATTGAAATGAATCAAGGAAGCCAAAACACATCTCACCAAGAAGAGACTGTGGTGTTGTTTATTGTTACTAGCACTAAGTTGGTCTGGTCCAGTAACTCTCTGCAGTCTTCAAGCAGCTGTTTGATGTGACTGTATGTCATGACAATTGCCTGGGGAATGGGAAAGGTTTTCCCCTTGTTATCTTTTGGCCTATTTCTGGCTTCCCGATATTCTTTCAGAAGCCTGATGGCAACACATTCCCAAACCCTGTTTACATCAGCTCTTTGGGCAGCCTGGCCATGAGTCATGAACAGTCTGTGAATAAAAAGATAGAAGAAAGTAATCAATATTCTGCTGCTGTTCCAGTATATCATACAGCTGTGATTCAGCCACAGGCCAAGGGCCACAGGTAATCACAACAATTCTGATAGTCAGAACAACACCCATGCTCATGTGACATTGCTTTTATACAAAAGTTCTATAAACAAGAAGTTAATATTGAGTAACATATATTTTAGACACAATATTGCCAGTTATGAAAGCCACAAATACGCACAAAGTGAACATTGATACAATGAAAAGTCCCAGTGCTGTTACCAGCTAAATATCAGCATTCTTAAACTGCCTCCCAGCCAACCAAATTGAATTAACTGTTGTTTAATGAGATAAAATGGATCATACTAATTATATTTGTAAATTACAAAATGTGTGCATCCACTAAAGTTTAATTCACCTCTCAGCTGCTTGCTGACCAGGTGCCGAGCCACTTCTCTTCCGGGAAGCTCTCCAAGGTCCTGGCAAGGTCTTCTTCTTACATTTAAGCAAATATCTAGTTGGAGACTGGTCAATGGCATGCAGACAAGAATACAACCTCACAATCTGAGATATCTCAGTGGTTGACAAAGCAGTTATAGTGCGGTTGAGACCAACAAGGTACTCTGCCAAGTTATCCACTGCCTCCCATCCAGGAACACCCCTTGAATCACACCGACCATCCTGAAAAAGTAGATGGACACACAAAAAACCAAATCCTAAATTATAAAAGTATAATAAAATTTCAGTAACAGTTCTGTGATAAACTATTCTTCACAATTCACAAATGATCAAGTGTTCGCCACTTTACCGGTGCTGATGGGC